ATAAGGCCACTCCTGCTGCCTTCAACTCCAGAGTCAGGAAAGGCTGTCTGAGCTGCATAGACCAGGAAGGGGTGGAAGCAGCAACCCAGGTTTACCTGCTTTACTTCTAACTTGGCGACTCACAGGCGGAAGCCACTGCCTCTCTCTGGCCTCAGTTTCCTCATCTGTACAGTTGTTGGATGTCACGCTCTCCATCCAGCACTGAATTTCTGCAGGTAAGCTGTTATTCAGCCTGTAGGTTCTAACCACAAAAGATACTTGACATCCAAGAAGGAACAGACCCATCAAGAATGCAGGGTCTTTGGGAGGTTCTCTGATGAAATATCTTTGGCGCCACCTGGTGTCGTATGCTTTGTACAGCTCCTTTCAGGAGGCAGAAGGCTGTCGTGAAATATAATAGAATCAGATGCGGGGCAAAAGGTGCTCTCTGTCCAATGGAAAACTGGAAACAGAAAACGGAAAGTTCATTCCTGCTCCCACCCTGCAACCATTAGTATTTTGTAGCTCCTTTCGGATTTTGTGTGTATATTTTGTTACAATTAGAATCATAGTATGTAGACTGTTGAATGTTCTCTTCCTTCCAACTAACTCAGTGAAGCATGATTCAGGGGTTAAGAGCACATGCCCTAGAGCCCGATTCCCTGAGTTCAAAGCCTCACTCTGTTGTGTGATCTTGGACAACTCAGCAAACTGCTCCGTACCTCATTTTCCCAATCTGTAAAATGGGGATGATGACAGGATTAAATAAATGTCTTTACATTAAGACATATAAAGCACTTAGAACAATATGTGATGTTAGTTACTAACTTCATAGCATTTTCTGTGTTGCTACACCATCTTCATAATGAATCTTTTTAATAGCTTTAGTATCCTACTGAGTGCCTACACTAGCTAATTTACTTAACCATTGCTCTTTTGTTAGGTGTTTGTTATTTCCAGTCATTCTACATTATAAATAACACTGTCATAAATATCTTACCACATACCTTTTGGATTTTTTCATACATAGATTCCCAGAAATAGAAGCATGAGGTCAAGGGGCAAAAACATTTTATGCCTTTGGTCTATATTGGGAAATAGTTTTCCAAAAAGGGTTGTAGCTCTTTAAAATGGAATGTGTGCTGAACTTTGCCCTTTTCATTGCTCCCTCACCAGCCATAGATAACATCAGTTTCTTTGATTTGCACAATTGTAATGACCATAAACAGTCACACTTTAATTTCCTTTTCTTTGACCATCATAGAGGCTTAGCGTTGCCAGTTGCGATTACTTTATTGTGACTCTGTGAGGGTCCACACCAGTCGTTTTAACAGAGAAAACTCGACATAAAGAATTGTGAATTCTGCATTAAAGAACTGAAAAGCCAGAAAGAAACACTAAGGATCTGCTACCACCCCTGAGGCTGGGGGAACACAGGGAAGACAGGTGACAGCTGGCTAGCGTTCATGCCTCTGAGGGGCACGCGCCACGAGGCTAGTTCTGTAAGTGACGGACAAAGAGCAAACTGGATTCAACTGCTGCTTGTGGGACAAACTGCTGCTGTAAGATTAAAAAGCCAAGGCTCTGGAGCTGCCAGATTTAGCAAAAACAAAATGCAGATCAGCTAAATTTGAATTTCAGACAAATAACAGTTTTTAGAATATTTATGCTAATATTGCATGGAACACACACTAGAAAATTATTTCTTGTTTACCTAAAATTCAAATTTAACTGAATGTCCTACATTTTACCCAGCGATCTTACAAAGTAGGAATGGTGCTGGAAAAACTGTTCTTTCCCTGCCCATCTAGTCTTTCAGTCGCCCTCTGGCGCCCCCTATTGGCAGAGCCCACCATAGGGCCAATTGGTAAAGCTGAAAAGTGGTTTGCAGACAAAGGAGAAACGATTATCCAGTAATCGGCAGAGTCCACCCTTCTGGCTGTTCAGCATCGATACATACCGTCCTGCACATTGGTACTTCCAGACAACAGCAACAAACTCTAACAAAATGCCTAATAAAATGCAACTATCTTTCCAACAAATGAAGACATTCTCGCCTTCTCCCTGAAACGGGGAGAGGCAAAGTGTCTACAGTTATTTGCCAACTAAAGAATGTCACTCATCATCTGGTTCTACAAGAATGAAGTCACTAGCCACTGCAGTCACCGACCTTCAACACACCCTGAAAGGAGTTCAAGGCAGAGATCAGGCATGAGGCACTCTGTGAAAAACTGGCAGAACAGGCCTTCAGATACTTAGATATTTTCAGAAGATTTTATGAGCCCAGTTTCTTGCATCTTCTCATATCTAGGAAAACACTAAAATCATTAACGGAGACATCCACTCCTCGTGACGAGCAACAACCTTCTTGTAACCAGCAGCAACCTTCTCCTAAAATGTGTGCTTGATTGCACGTACGCCCTTCACCAATATCACATATACACTGACACCCACACCCCTCTTCAGAGCTATCTGAGGGGCTGTCTCCTGGGCTATAGTTCTCATTGTGCCCCAAATAAAACTTAACTCACAGCTGTCACACTGTGCGTTTTTTTGACATATTTATCTCTGGAAGATAGTCGTACCACCCATCTCCGGGCAGGACTAACTACTCTTAAATCTCAGTCACAGTCACACTTGAAAACTCTGTTATCTAAAAGCTAAATTGTAGAATTAACCTCCAACAAAACTTCTATAGAATAATAAGAGGAAGGAGAAGGGAGAATAAATTAGCTAATACGAACCATCATCCGTAATCACATGATAATCAAGGAAGAAAATTTGCATGGCTGCCACATTTCTCATTTCTGTAACCTGTCATGAAGCCATAGTTGATGTTGATGAATTTCTTCGTCGGTCTCCCATTCCATGTTTTCTTGTCATCAGACAAGACCTTAGCTTGCCAGGGTTCCTTAGTAGGATGACCCAAACCTTCATTCCTGAAGGATCTGCATCCTCCGCAGCCCTGCCTCTCTTTAGCTGCAACAGTGTTTATTAATATTTACTCTTGAGCACAGAAGCACTAAGACACACCCCAGAGGATCCCCTAGGCGCAGATACAGTCTTCCCCCTGTCCCTAGTTTCCCCTTGGTTCTCAGGATGAATAACCACAGCCAGTAAAGTAACCCTCTTCTTTGTCCACTGGTTTTGTGGCAAATGGCCAGGTGGCAGTCTCAACTTCCAAGTCAACAGAACCATGTTGGGAATCCTAATGGAAGCATTTGTCTCTTTGGAACCAAGACCTCCAATCCAGAGAGCACAGAATTGAAGAGACAGGAAGCAGAAACCCTGCAAGTGATTCATTAGGTGAAATGGTGAGAGGAGCCATTCTCACTTGAACACTTTGATTTCCAGACCCAAGTATTCTGGCTGTGGAGAAAGAGCACGAGGTATTGTTTGCTAAGTCAGATCACATATTGCATCCTATAAGATAGACCCTCACCATCTCCTCAACTGAGTCTTAAGTCTTCAGGAGCCCATCCTACTGATCTATTAGGTCATCTGCTCCTGGGTGGTAGAGTACGTGTTAAGACCACTGAGTTCCGTGGCTGTGAGCCTATTGCTGCACTTCTATTAATATGAAATGAATTCCTTGATTAGAAGCCTGGAATATATCAGGATGGTGACTAGACATTTCAGACATGCCCAGATGATGGCACTGGCAGAACATTATAGACAGGGAAAGTCAAGCCATATCCAGAAGCTATGTTTATTCCAGTGAGGACACATCTCTTCCCTCTCTCTAATGGAAGGGGTCCAGTGTAATCGTCCTCCTGCCGGGTAGATAGTCCTCCCGGAGGGCGGTGCCATAGCAGGAGCTCCACATTGGTCTCTGCCATTGACAGCTCAGTCATTCAGCAGTAGTAGTAGCAGGCAGCCTCCGTGAGGAAGTCCATGCATAGCCTCCATCCCTGCCACCATGGCTACTCTATATGGAAACTGAGCAAACCCTAGATGGCGTGGGAAAGATGCTGACTGACACGCACAAGCCGTGCCATTTTGTCCACCTGATTATTGAGAAACTATTCTCATTCTGCCCTTTGGTGAGCTTTCACATGGGGCACAAGTATCTTCACACCCTGTACCTATTCAGAGAAGTCCATTCGCAAACCCTTCCCTAGACTTCCTCGTCACCAGTCTTACTGTTCGGTTCTTTCTAAGTCCCTGACCATCTAGCTAAACCGTTAACAACTGCCCACGAATCAATGTAGGTCTAGCCATCTCTTGGACCAAAGTGGACAACAAAATTTACAACGGGAGGTCATGTCCATTGGGAAGATTTACTTCACTATTTCCCTTTAGGGTGACCTTTTATTAGGGCTGTGAAACTGCAACCGTACGCTTCTAGTTGATGCCAGCATACTGTTAAGAACGATCTGTAAACCAAGCCTGCTTTTTCCTCCGTGGTCAACTGGTCATAGGAATTCCTAGTGCGGCCTTAGGTGTGGATTGAGGGAGAGGAAGAGTAGTTGTCAAACTAGTCTGAGCCACCTGCTCGTGCAGCTTACCTGTACCTTCAGATGTATTCAAGCCATTCGATGCTGGTTATGCTACTGGGCATAACCTTATGACTTGCTGGATAAGACAAGCAGCTCAGGTCACATGGTCAGGTAATGTTTCATGGTTAGTTTGTGGCCTCATTTTTAATATGTTTTTATCCATTTACCCCTTAAACAAATCATTCTGTGAGGCTCACCCTTCTTTTTGGCTTCCCTTGTATTTGTCCTTGTTGTTTCATTTATGAATGATGGTGGTAGCAGCACCCGACCCTCTGATCCTCTCTCCCAGGGTAACAATCCAGGAGCTATTTCTCAAACTAACAGTTATCTGCAAAAGAATGCATGGAGAGTACCACGCAAAAGAGAGTTGCTCGACAACCTGCGTGCCTACAGGGCTGACTTCTGTAAGGGCGAGGGGAAGTCGCATGTTCCATCACAGGTTCTAGGTGTGGGGAACTCTGCCAAGGGTCTTGGGGGTGGGACCCGGTGGCCAGAGGGTGATCTCCGTCCACTCTGTTGCAGGCACAGCCTCCGTCGCCGTGGCAGGGATCCTGGCTGCTCTGCGAATCACCAAGAACAAGCTCTCCAATCACGTGTTTGTTTTCCAAGGTGCTGGTGAAGTAAGTGCCGTCGGGGGCTCTCTGCTGTTGTTCCAGTAGGAGAGTAAGAATGGGTGGAGGGGCTTCCCTGGTGGCGCAGTGGTTGAGAGTCCGCCTGCCGATGCAGGGGACACAGGTTCGTGTCCCGGTCTGGGAAGATCCCACATGCCGCAGAGCGGCTGAGCCCGTGAGCCATGGCCACTGAGCCTGCGCGTCCGGAGCCTGTGCTCCACAGTAGGAGAGGCCACAACAGTGAGAGGCCCGCGTACTGCAAAAAAAAAAAAAAAAAAAAAAAATGGATGGAGGAGCCGCAAGGTGTTCTGGGCTTCTGAGGAGAGGAAACAGCACAGATGCGTTGTGATCATTGCAGCTGCCTGGGCCCCAACATTTGGGTGTCTCAAGGCAGGTACTTAACTGGGCCTCCTGGGAGTAGTGGGGGAAGAAACGAGGATTTTGGTGAAGCATCTGATAAAATCCTGAGCAGCTTTTGCCTTTTGTCTAAACACCCACCTCGCAGGCAGCCATGGGCATCGCCCACCTCCTTGTCATGGCCCTAGAGAAAGAAGGCGTACCCAAGGCAGAGGCCACAAGGAAGATCTGGATGGTGGACTCCAAGGGGCTCATTGTCAAGGTACTGTTGGTCTGGAGACCTGGAGGTTACCTGATATCTACAGCTATTGGAACTGGACTGGAAGAGATCTCAAGGGGTAAACTGCTCAGACAGAAGAGAGAGCAGAAGGAGGGCAGTGTCCTAATCCCCAAAGCAAAAGATTCATCCCAAAGTAGCCTTAATTGCTCTTGTCCAAAAGCTTTGAATGTGCTTGCAAATGTGTGTACGTGTGCTCTTTCCAGTGTCATCTCCCCCCACGTCCTGCCCTGTACTCACCTCTAACCATGTTGAATCATAATTCTCCAAAAGTAACATGCTCTCTCTCTTCTACATCTTTGCATATTTTGTTCCTCTGCCTGGAATGCCCTTCTCTTTTTCCACACGCCCACTCACAGCCCTCAACCCCATCTGTTTCCTCCCTGTCTTCTGTTACCTCCTTCAAGCAGCTTCCCTGAGCATCTGGGTCTCAATTAGTTCCCTGTGTTTATGCTCATGTAGCCTTCCGCCCTTCATATATTACACTTATCCCGTGATAGGGCTGTTGCCCCTTTACTTGCCTCCCTCCCCATGAGGCTGTATAGTCTTGATGTCAAGGTCCTGCATGTGATAAGTACATAATTGAAGTTTGAGGTACGAATGAAGGAATGAATGAGAGAGACAGTCCAGCTTCTGACTGCAGTGTGGTGAGGGGCACAGTTGGATGACCTTCTCCCTCAGGACTTCACTCAGAGCTCCATGTTTTAATCCTGAGATTTCACTAACATAGACTGTGACAGTGAGAGCCTAAAAAACGACAAGAGATAGGAACACGAGGCTCTCAACCAAGAATAGTGGAGACCCCCCTCAGAAGCAACAGACCTTCCTATTGTTCCCTATAAGGGCAGATTCCCACCGGAAAGAACTGGGACCTGGAGACTCCTCCTTCTGCCCCAGATCATTCCAGAGCACGGTCCAGGCACAGGTGGAGGCTGCCATGCTTGCCTCTTTCCCACGTTTCAACATCACCTTTGCTCACCCCATTGAGCTCACCCCTCCTCAAAGCCCTCTCAAGGCTGGTGTTTTCACCCTGGCTCTCGTGAGGCCAGCTGACCCAGAGGAGTCATCAGAAACGTTGACCAGCCTGTCACCCACTGACTCCTATTTGAAGAAATGGAAGGAATCTGGACCCCACTGGGAGCAGACAGCCACTACAAGCCTGTCCTGGATCTCAGCTTATTATTTATCGGGAGGTTAATGGCTCCTGTCAAATACATTCAAATTAGCGCCCTGACCCTGGGTGACTCAGGCCCCCATCCCTCAACTGGGCCTCTGTGCTATATGTCTTGGGGCCGAGAGTATTGGTCCAGACTCAGGCATTTCCTCGGAGCCTTTCTGTCCTGGCCCAGGAAGCCATGACCCCAGCAGCTCAAAGAAAGGCCTTACGGGTTCTCCATATGTGGTTTGGATTAAAGAAAGAAATACACATGCACACACACATTTAAAATTCTTAGGTTGCATCGTAGATTTTGATCAAAAGGACAGGGCGCAAGGTTCTGACAGCTCAGACCAAAGCACAGGGCTCTAGAGTACACAGATGCATCCAGGCACTGCCCAGCGGTTCTCACCACCACAGCTGTATCATGTTCTTCCTTTCCCTGCAGGGGAGGAGCCACCTGAACCATGAGAAGGAGATGTTTGCTCAGGACCACCCTGAAGTGAACTCCCTGGAGGAGGTGGTGAGGCTGGTGAAGCCCACGGCCATCATAGGTAGGAGGAGGGGCGACCCACTTCCCAGTCCAGCTAATCCTCTTGACTTGCAGGTGAAGACTGAGGCTCAGCGAGGAGGCATAAGCAACCCTTGGAAACACAGCTCTTTCCCCTCATTTCCAATTCAATGCTACAAACTTCTATTGAGTTTTTACTGTATAAGAACCGTAGAGCTAAGGCACCAAACTGGGCTGCGTGATGCAGAATGATACAGTAAAGTGGAAAAGCACAGGCTGGTCTCTCTAACCAGGATGACATGAGCACTCCTCCCCCAAGGGGGGGACCCTGGCATCACTCCCTGTCCTGTGGGAGCAGTCCACTCTAAAGGACAGTGGCCAGGCATGCTTCACAGGTGCATCTTAACTGAGCTGGGGCCTGAAGTGGACCAGTGGAATTAACAGGGGGTCTCAGCCAACTCAAGCAGGGAGACCCTTTTCTCCTATCCTCCCTCATCCCTATGGCAGATGCCATCCTCAAGACTCCTGAGTCTTCCGTGTTGTACCTAGTTCCACCACCACCACCGGGAGAGGAATGGGGTGTATATAAAGAGTCGGCACCCCACTACCTCCCCCTTTTCCCCATAGGTGTTGCCGCCATCGCAGGAGCCTTCACGGAGCAGATCCTGAGGGACATGGCCTCCTTCCACGAGCGCCCCATCATCTTTGCCCTGAGCAACCCCACCAGCAAGGCCGAGTGCACGGCTGAGAAGTGCTACCAGGTCACCGAGGTCAGCGGGGAGTCCTTCCTTCCCCGGGCTGAGAGGACATAGTAACAGTAACCATGAGCAGCCCTACGAGGGTGAAAAAAATCCCCACATTGCCGATAAGCAAACTGAGTTTCAAAAAGATGAAGTAACTTGCCCAAGGTCACAGAGCTAAAAAGGAGTGGAGCTGGCCCTCAAACCCAGGTCCGGCTCTAAAGCCCAGGCTCTTACCAGTAGGCTTTACTGCTCAGGGTTCCCCTAACATAGAGCTCTGACCAGAACTCGAGGCGCTTGTGGACTCTAGGCCATTTGCACACCTGGCTTGCCCTCCGGGGAGGTGACAGGTTAAAAGCTACACCTTCCCCGTTCTGTGGTTTTGTGGCTGCCAGGTAGCTCAGTGGGAGCTGAGCTTTCTGGTCCGATGAACAGGTGTGCTTTCAACACCTGCAACGTCCTCAGCACAGTGCTGAGCATTTAGCAGAAGATGAGGAAGGGGTCAACTTTCGGGAGAAACGACTAGGCTACCGTGACCCCTGAAACCTAGCTCCAAGCTCCGTCTCTGGTTTTCTTCCTGCCCCCAGGGCCGAGGGATCTTTGCCAGTGGAAGTCCCTTTAAAGGCGTGACTCTGGAAGACGGCAGGACCTTCATTCCCGGGCAGGGAAACAACGCCTACGTGTTCCCTGGAGTGGCTCTGGGAGTCATCGCAGGCGGGGTCCGACACATCCCGGACGGGCTCTTCCTGCTGACAGCAGAGGTATTGCTGTCCCCGCTGCCCCGAATACACCCCAGAGGGCCTGTGAGCTCCACTAGCTCCTACACCGGGTCCCCAAAGATTCCTTCTCTTGTTTCTTCTACCTACCTGCCCCAGTCCTTCAGTGGTTCCCCAGAGTGCTTGAATGTCAAGCTTCTCTCAAGATCGCCTGGAGGCTTGAACTCCTCTGAAAACACACAGAGGCTTTTTAAGGCAGGGGCGGCGGGGGAAGGAATAGTCAGTGGGAGGGGTGCTGGCAGGAGGCGCTGGCAGTGAGGGCACATACCTTGTACTGTACCCTGCCTCCCAGCAGAACCCGTATGCATGCCAAGAACGGAGGTGCCATCAAAACCACCTGAAACTGTGGGCTCACCGACCGTGACAAGCAGTAGATTTTTCCAGCCATGGGTCTTGGCCACGTTACTGGGTAACTGGTAGCAAAATAAGCCCCACTAGGGCTTCCCTGGTGGTGCAGTGGTTGAGAGTCCGCCTGCTGATGCAGGGGACACGGGTTCGTGCCCCGGTCCGGGAAGATCCCACATGCCGCGGAGCGGCTGGGCCCGTGAGTCATGGCCGCTGAGCCTGCGCGTCCAGAGCCTGTGCTTCGCAACGGGAGAGGCCACAATAGTGAGAGGCCCCCGTAACAAAAAAAAAAAAAAAAAAAAAAAGCCCCACTAGGGCAGATTTCTGTAAGGAAGGGGATGGGTTGCACGTCAAGTTTGCCTGCTCTGAGTACCCATGTCTTGAGCATAGATGGGGGATGTGGGTGTGCACCTGCTCCAGGCATCTTATCAGAAAAGCTCCCACAAGCGTTCTTTACTGGGCATGGTGAATTGAAAACAAGGAAAGGATTTGTTAAAGATGACAGCCCACATTCATAATAATGGTTGTTAATAATAACAGTTACAGTGGCTGCCATTTAACAAACGCTTACCGAGTGCCAAGCACTTCACATTTATCTTCACTCTGCGGAACCAAGGCGTAGAAATGTTTCTGTTGAGAAGTTAAGCTAATCAAAACTATAAACAAATATTAAACATATTTATCCCCAGTGGGCTCCAAAGGCTCTGCTGTGATTTCTGGCATGTGTCTGCATTTCCCCCTCACCACAGCACTGGTGAGAGCCCCAAACCAGCAAGCCACAAGAAGGGCTTCCATGCAGCCCTACCCAGCCCTGCTTCTGTGAGTCCCACAAGGAACTGTCTCATGCACCAAGTTCCTTCTTCCTATGTCTGCTGAAGTTTTGTCAGCCTCCCCCAAGCCTTGTGCACACCAGCTCTGGCTTCATGCTCTAGTTCTCTGTCCCTCTTACTTGAGTATTTTGCGTTTGATTGGAGGTGGTGGTATCCTGTGGCCATGGGCGGAGCTGTCTGAAACCCCCACTGGATGGGAAGAGTCACTTCCTGCTTGGAGTTGACCCGAAAGCAAACTCCCCTGTTGTGCAGAAACAAGGTTGCTAAAGCCTTCCTATGCAACCCCCAGAAACATCTGCACAACCCACAGCCTCTGCTATGGGACATTTCAGCTCCATCTTTTCATGAACCGTGTCCATGAAGTAAACAGGAACCTCTCCTCAATCTACTTCTCAGTCACTTGCTCTGAGCAGCATAAGGCCCCTCCCCTCCAGGAGCTGACAGTCTGGTCTTCAAAGGCCTGGCAGGTTATATTTCTGAACAGGATGTTTGGTTTGGTTTGGTTTGGCTGGTTTTTGTTTTTTTATTTATTTTTGGCTGCGTCGGGTCTTAGCTGCGGCGCGCGGGCTCTGCATTGTGGTGCACGGGCTTCTCTCTAGTTGTGGCGTGCAGGTTTTCTCTCTGTAGTTGTGGCATGCGGGCTCTAGTCGAGGCACGTGAGCTCAGTAGTTGTGGCACGTGGGCTTAGCTGCCCCAGGGCATGTGGGATCTTAGTTCCCTGACCAGGAATTGAACCTGTGTCCCCTGCATTGGAAGGCAGATTCTTTACCACTGGACCACCAGGGAAGTCCCTGAAAAGGGTGTTTTTAAATTAAGATAATTTAAGTTGAAACTGATTTTCCTATGGAAAAAGTAATATAAGTTTTAGGAGATGTACATGCAGTATCTCATTTCACCTTGACAACCCTGTAAAGTATAGTGATCATCCCTACGTTACAGACAAGGAAACTGAGGCACAGAGAGTTTGAGTTACTTGCCCAAGGTCACCTGGCTTGTGAGGGATGTGCCAGGATGGCCCCAGGCAATTTGACTCAGAGACACAGCAGAGCATTAGCAGTGCCCAGCATCTCAGAAGTGGCCACACATACCATAATATAACTCGTCACTGCAGGAGAGCCTTTCTAGTTGCAGATCTAGCCATGGAAATTCTGCTTCCCTCTAGTCAATTCACCATCTACACCTCCACAAAGAGAATTAAAGCCCAGAACAGGCCATCTCTCTCCTAATTTCAGACCTTTTATGGCTCGTTGGTGCTTCCAGGAAAGGCCAAACTCCTTCACATGGTTTCCATACAAGGCACTTCATCCAAGGCCCTCCTTTCCTCTCCAGCCTTTTAGCCTCCCCCTGCCGTCAACCTATCCCGCCTTCTTTTTACAGTCGTTCTCTCTCTTCCCTCTAAGAATTTGCATGTGCTATTCCTTCTCCTCTCTTCAAGTAATTCACACTTTGTCCTTCAGGTCTTAGCTTCTGTCTTTTCTTCTGGGAAGCCTTTCCTGTACATGGCAGACTGGGCCCTGCCTTCCTCTGTGCCCATATGTCCCCTCTCCTCGAAATCACTATAATCGTTACTATTGTTTGTTCATCTCCACTGACACCAGTCTCCAGGAAGGAAAAGACTGTGGTTTCTCCACCATGGCTCTTCAGCACCTAGCACAGAGCCCGGCATATCGTAGAGCTCAGTGGATGTTTGAATGAACAGAAAGGACAGAGAGGAATTTAAGAACGAGGTAGCAGAGGGGGGAGCCCAGGTTCCTAATGTCTGCCAAACTCTGAGGCAAGACCAGCTCCTTTCCCTGTCCGTCCCGGGACACAGAGTTCTCAGAGAGCACTGTGGCTTTTCCCAGATTTCAATTTGACACGAGAAGATTGGGTGGGAGTGCATTCCGAGGCCCGTTAAAGAGGCTGTTCTGCAAGGCTGGCTGACCACCAGTGCCTGAGGCTGGAGGATGAGGCTGGCTGCGGAGAGCTGGCCCTTAGAGACGGGCTCTGAAGCAGGGAGGGAAGCTGTAGGAGAGGCTGTTCCTGGGCTGAAAGTGCTTTTAGGGCATTTATTCAGGTACCGCATAAGGCCCATTCGTGGTGTCACTGGAGAAGCAGCCTTTCTTTCCTCACTGGGGCCAGGGCCGGAAAGGAGAGCCCAAGGAGGCCTGAATACAGAGACACAAGATGGCCTAGGGGGACAGCCCGGATGCTCCTAAGCATGTGGGAGAGGCTGGAACCCGGGAAGCGAGGGACTCAGGGATCCCTATACAACAGGCTAGGTCAGCCGGAGTGGGGGAGACCCCAGAGTCTGCTTTGCAACTCACAGGTTTAGTCCTCTTGGCCTTAGTGATTTTCCTTTAGAATTCAGACAGCTTCATGTTGTTTTAAGCCTCGGCCAGTCTCACGGGACAGAAAGGATGTGTCCTTTCTTAAGCCCAAGCATTAAGCGCCCCTGGGGCCACAAGGTGGCAGAGACAGGAGTAGAAACTGCACTTACGGGCCACGTATGAGGGGCGAGGTGAGTTTCTGGTGTACTGGGTTGGGCTTGCTCTGGGAAGGTGGAAACTCAGCTTGTTCCTCTCTGTTCTCTCTCCCCAGCAAATCGCCCAAGAGGTCTCTGAGCAGCATCTGTCACAGGGGAGACTGTACCCCCCACTCAGCACCATCCGAGACGTGTCTCTGAGAATCGCCATCAAAGTAAGGGACGTCTTACCCCCTTACTATGGGGAGTGGGGCTCATCAGCTTCCTCTCTGTGTGACTTTAGGAGGACGAAGGGGGTGGCAGCTGCAGAGACAGGCTGAGCTCCCTGGGCTGCACTGCATGCACCCCAGAGGCTGGGTGACACACTCTTGCCTGTAGCCCGAGCCCCACCTCAACCCCACTCAGGGCAGTTCTGGGAAAGCTCCTGGATTTCCCCTCAAACACCAGGCAGAAAGCTCACCAAAGGCCCTAGTTTTGTGGACCAGAATGTGGGTGGAATTTAAAAATGAATCATAAGTGCCCATTTACACAGAAAGGTCAACTTGGAAAGAGCTCAGGCTGCGGGGTCCTAGCTCTTGGCGATCAGCGGCAGAGTTACCTGAGCCCAGTCACTTCACTTCCCTGAGCCTCAGCAGTTTCCTTCTTCTACAAAGAAGCCAGTAATTCCTCTCTCCCAGAGTTTTGGAGGACATTAAAAGAGAACAGTGGAAAAGCTCTACACTCGGCACCTTTCTGGCCAGAGGAGATGCTCATGCCTCCCCTTTCTCTCAGAATGGCTGGGCCATGGGTGATCAAGTTCAGGGGCTATTCTATGTAAAAATGTCACCCACTAGACGATGCAGAGATGATGGGTTTTCAAAGAACCAGAACATGGGGCAGTAAAGACTGGCCTGACATTGATAATTGTTAATCTGGATGATGAATTCATGAGGGTTCATTATACTGTTATTTCTATTAATATACATTTTACATTTTCTATAAGTTTGAAGAATAATTTCAGAAAACGCATTGCACAACAGCACGCACTCCCCATGAGCTGTCCAGTGCAGGATCCAGAGTCAGCCCTCAAGACCAATAGTGCAGCTTACAGTCCACGTCCACCCTGTCCAGTTCCTTCCTTTTGGGGGTATTTAGATTCATCCTCTTCTGAAGCCGAATCTAATACCCAGAGAACAATGTCCAATTCAAGCCACGTTTAAGACAGAAAAAAATATCAGATACTGAACACTTATACCTGCTACCAATTTTATCCTCACACCATGCCAGAGAAAGCCCTCGTGACCCCCACTTTACAGATGAGGAAACTGAGGCTCAGCAAGGATGATGTCACTGCTGAGGACCCACAGGCAGTTGGAAGCAGAGGCAGACTTTGAGGCCTCTTGACCCTGGCCCAGTGTCTATTCCATGGTGCCACAGCTTCCTTACTAGGCAGAAAACTCAAGATCCTTCCTCTCCAGTGGCTTCCTGGGCCTCAACTCATGAGAGGAACACATCTGCTGCTTCAGGGTATATTCCCCTTCCACAAGCTCCCAAGCAAGGGCCTTTAGACAGGTTCCTCCTTAGATCCAGTTCCTCAGTCAAACGTGTTTTTCCCTAGGTCCTCGACTTCGCCTACAAACACAACCTGGCCTCCTACTACCCAGAGCCCAAGGACAAGGAGGCTTTTGTAAGATCCCTGGTCTATACTCCAGACTATGACTCCTTTACGCTGGACAGCTACACTTGGCCCAAGGAAGCCATGAATGTTCAGAATGTCTGATGCAATCTCAGAGGCTGGTGTGGGGCTGAATGAAGCCCAGAGTAACACTGACAATATAAATGGGTTCCAAAATGGCCATGCTTGTCATTGTGTTTTTCCTTTGAACTTTCTGGTGTGAGGGGAGATGCCCAGGCATATGGTGAATGAGAGCCTTGTCCCTGAAGGCCTTGAGTTCACTTTTCTGTAACCCTCCTCAGGCTTCCTTCCCAAGAATTTCTTCATCTGTGAATTACCAACTATTGGCTAGACTTTGTGGAAATCTAGAGTCCTGCCTGGAACTCTGCCTTTACAGGGTCCGGGGTCTAGTAGAGGAGATGAGATATGCACACAATTCATTTTGCCACAAGGGAGAAAGTAGTAAGTCCATGGAAGAACTGTAGAAAAAGGTCAAGGGTACTCAGGGAAGGGAGAGGATACTTCCTATGAGGACATAAAAGAAGGCTTCTTGGGGGGTCAGTGTTTGCAGTGAGTCCAAGAGTGAAGGATGGGTAGGGTTAATGGAGAAATGAGGAATGTCAGGGCAGCCACTGGCCAGAAAGCATGGCCCACCCATCAAGGAGTTCAGTCCTTGTTGGAGGAATACACAACCTTTAAGACTCAGATGGGCGTGGGGGCTGAGTGGCTGGAGGCAACTCACAAGTCAGGAAGGGTCTCCGTCCTGTGGGCTGTTGAGTGTTAGGCATTCCTTTGTGGTCATTACTAAAAGGAAAACCAGAGAAGTGTGGGTGGAGAGTGTCAGCAAACCCAGAGGAAAGAGGAAGAGAGGCTGTGAGGGGCAAAACACCCTGGGGAGTTCTAGGGAAGACTTGATTTCATGTTCCTGGCTCTAGAACACTCTCTTCCACCCTTCACTCTCTGAAGTCATTTAGCAAACTGGAGCAGTTTTCTTACAGAATGATGTCAGTCTGTCCTGTTTCTTAGAACAAGTTCAGTCGTAGCCTTCACCTCCCTCGTGTCCAGCGAGCACACACCATGGGGCTGGGGAGGGGGGAGACGAGCCTGCAGCCCTCACAACCAAAGACCCTGCTAAATTGCTAACATCTGTTGGCATGGCAGCATCCAGCCTCTAATTTCATTGTATAACACAGGAAGCAACAATCCATGCCCAGAGACCTACCACTGCCCACCCCCGCTGCCAGCTCCGCCTCAGGTTCCGCACTGCCCACAATGAATAGGTCCTATACGACCACCTCCGTGACAGGCTAGGTGGATGACTGGGATCCTAGAAGAGTAATTAGCAGAGACATCAGTCACCCCTTGCCTAGGTCTTATTCTTCCAACCTCTGCTTCCTTGGTGCTGGTGCTCAGCCAAGAGTATCCTGAGGAAGCATCCCTGTACTGTAAATCCGTGGACTCACAGATAATGAGAACCTCTTCAGAAGAGGGCTTGAAGAGTGAAGCTGGAATCTGAACACCAGGGAGTCTTTTACATGATCTTTTCTACGTCCTATCCCACAACTTCCTCTGTACCCCAACTATGCCTCCTTTATACTCAATGTAACAGAAAAGAAAAACAGTAGAGAAGATTAATGAAACCAAAACAGGTTGATGAGATCAACTGAATTAACAAGCTTTAGCTATACTGACAAAGACAAAAAGAAAGACGATAAAAATTACATTTCCTTTGTTCGAAGCGCAATGAACATCTTGCTGGCACTTACACAGGCCCTTACACGTGCTTGGTCTCTACCTGGAAAGCCCTTCCCTCTGCTTCTCTGCTCTTTACCAATTAAATTTCAGTTCACCCCAGCTTTCTGCCTGGAGACATCATTCATCATTGGAGTGCAAATGCACTTGGCTCCAGGAAGTCTTCTTGGACAGAGTTAATAATTAAATTAGAAATCAACAACAGTAAAAAAGAAAATGGGAAATTTCCAACTCTTTGGAAGTTAAACAATATATTTCTAAGTAAGTCACGGTTCAAAGAAGAAATCACAAGATAAATTATATATGTTGAGCTGAATAAAGAAAAATCAAAATTAATGAGTTGTAGCTAAAGTAGTGCTTAGAGGGAAATTTTATAGCTTTAAATGCCAATATCGGGGGAAAAAAAGAATAAAAGTTCTCAAAGCAATAACATAAACTTTCTCTTTAAGAAACTAGTAAAGAAAACTAAAAATAGAATTAACATATGACCCAGCAATCCCACTACTGGGCATACACCCAGAGAAAACCATAATTCAAAAAGACACATGCACCCCAATGTTCACTGCAGCACTATTTACAATAGCCAGGTCATGGAAGCAACCTAAATGCCCATTGACTGATGAATGGATAAAGAAGATGTGGTACATATATACAGTGGAATATTAGCCATAAAAAAGATACAAAACTGGGTCATTTGTAGAGATGTGGATGGACCTAGAGACTGTCATACAGAGTGAAGTAAGTCAGAAAGAGCAAAACAAATATTGTATATTAATGCATATATATGGAATCTAGAAAAATGGTACAGATAAACTGGTTTGCAGGGCAGAAATAGAGACACAGATATAGAGAATGAACGTATGGACACCAAGGGGGGAAAGCGGGGAGTGGAGGGTGGTGGGATGAATTGGGAGCTTGGGATTGATATATATATACACTAATATGTATAAAATAGATAACTAATAAGAGCCTGCTGTATAAAAAAATAATAAAATTCAAAAAAAAAAGAAACTAGGAAAGGAAAAGCAAACAAAATTCAAAGAAAGCAAAGATTAGAGTAGAATTCAATAGACTTATAACAAATAAAGAAGTTGAATTAGTAATTAAAAATCTTCCCACCAAGAAAAGCCCAGGCCCAGAATTCTTCATGGGTGAACTTTATCAAATATTTAGAGTGTAGATAATACCAATCCTTCACAAACCCTTTCAGAAAATAGAGGAGGGAACACTTCCAAAATCATTCCATGATACTGGTATTACCCTGATATCAAAACCAGATTAAAAAAACAACACAAGAAAACTATAGACCAATATCCTTCATGAATACAGATGCAAAATTCTAAACAAAATATTAGCGAGCCAAATCCATCAACATAAAAGAATTAAACACAATGAGCAAGTAGAATTTATCCCAGGAATGCAAGGTTGTTTCAACATTTAAAAATTGATCAACATAGTACATGATACTACTAGAATGAAGGATACAAACCACAGGAACATGTCAGTGGATGTGGGAAAAGCATTTTAAAATACCCACCACCCATTTGAGATAAAACTTTCAACAAACTAAGAATAGAAGAGAATGTCCTCAACCTGATCAAGAACCAACAGCTAACATCATACTTAATGGTGAAAGAATGAATACTTTCTCCCTAAGATCTGGAAGTTGTTTTCACCACTCCTGGTCAACATGGAGGGTCTAGCCAGTTCAATAAAGAAAGAAAAATAAAGTAAAGTCATCCAGACTGGGGGGAAAAAAAGAATAAAACTGCCTTTATTCACAGATGACATAATCCTATAAGCAGAAAATGCCAAAGAATAGAATAGCACTTGCATTGCTCTCGCTCTCACCCTTCTTCCCTATCTCTCTTTCTCTCTCTCCTAATAAATGAGTTTAGAAAGGTCATAGAAAGCAAGGTCAATATACAAAAATCAATTGTATTTCTATAGACTAGCAGCAAATAATCTAGAAATAAAATTAAGAAAACATTCCATTCACAATAGCATCAAAAAGAAAAAATACTCAAGCAATTCAAGAGGTGCAAGTCTTGTACAATGAAAACTGCAAATCATTGATGATAGAAACTAAAGATTTAAACACATGGAGAAATGTTCCATGTTCATGGAATTGAAGTCTCAATATTGTCAAGGCAGCAGTTCTCTCCAAATTATCTATAAATTCAACACTATACCTATCAAAATCCCTGGAGGCTTTTTTTTTTGTTGTAGAAATTGACAGGATGATCCTAAAACTTATATGGAAATGCAAGGGACTTAGAATAGCCAAAATTTTCGAAAAAGAATGAAGTACATGATCCAATTTCAAAGCTTACTATAAAGCTACAATGATCAAGATAGTGTGCTCATATAGATCAATGGAACAGAGTTGAGAATTCACAAATAAGTCCTTATATTCATGGTAAATTGATCTTTCAACTACCAAGATAATTCAATGGAGGAAAGAATTGTCTTTTGAACAAATGATGCTGGGACAACTGGATATCCACATGCCAAAAAAAAAAAATATATATATATATATATATATATAGACATTTACCTCATACCATGTACAAAAATTAACTCAAAATGGACCACAGATCTAAATGTAAGAGCTAAAACTATACAATTTCTAGAAGAAAATATAGCAGAAAAGTCTTTGTGACTGATTGAGGAGAGTTCTTAGATACAATTTAAAAGCGTGATTCATAAAAGAGAAAATTGATAAATTGTACTTCACCAAATTTTTTAACTTTTGCACTTTGAAACACACCAATAAGGAAAAAAATGACAAGTAACAGACTGGGAGAAAGTATTTGCAAATTATATATCTGATAAAGGCATTGGATCCAGAATATGTAAAGAACTTTTACAACTCAGTAGGATGACAAAAAAACCCAACTGAAAAAATGGGCAAAATATTTGAATCGACATAGTACTAACAAAGATATGTGAGAGAATGTACACTAAAAGATGTTTAACAACATTAGTTGTATTAAAATTAAAACTACAATGGGATAACACTTCCCGCTCACCAGAATCGCTGTAATAAAAAAGACAGACAGTAAGTGTTGGAGAGAATTAAAACCTCTTCTAGCAGGGCTTTGTCTCCTAAGCACTATGAGGTTAAGGGAAATTTCCCTCTGTCTTTTAAAAGTCTTCATTCTAACTCCCCAGCCTCTCATACATAGTCCCAGAACTCAGCAAGTGTCATTTAGTATAGTGGATGCTGTGGTTGTACCACCCAGATCCCTCTAAAGGTCTGAAACACTTACTCAGGGCCAGCTGCCAGGAGTATTCTCAGCTGAAGGCTCACAGTTGCATCCCCCGCTGGGAGTTGCAGTTGACTGAAGAAAGATGCTTCATCCAAGGTTATGCCCTCATCCCCAGGGACAGCCTGCATCCAATGACTGGTTGATTCGAGTCCAAAGGTCCAACCCCCTTGCCACAATTGCAGACATCTCTACATGGCCATCCCAGCTTCAGAGCTCCCTGGGAGATTGGCTAAGGTCACTGTTG